TCAAAGAAATTTCTCTTTGCAACGGATGGAGACCATTACAGAAAGCCACAACACATCAGGCTGCAGAGTTGTGGAGCCCAGTCTCAAAGGATACATCTATAAAACCACTCCTACAATGAAGGCTCAGAGATCATTTTGAAAGAGGCAACAGGAATATTCTAAGAGCTAGAGGATCATGGAGTTTGATGTGAGATTATGTCTCCTGGGAAAGTCAGAAGCTACACCCATAAAACCTCACCAAAATGGCTGGTGAGCTGAATAAACATAACAACATGCTAACATATGTGGGAGAAAGTCCCAATCCTTTACAAATAATGACAGGCAATTAAGGAATACTGAGAATTAGAGGAATAGTCTTCCCCAGGGAAGGACACACCATTTGGTTCTCCAATACCCGATGGTCAGTCCCTGGAAACATATTCATTCAAGTAACATTATATAGACTAAGCAGTTTTGTCCTTATGCATTTAGAAATGTATATATGGAATAGCAATTAATGAAAAGAGGGGCCATGAATTTGAAAAAGTATAAGAATTTTTTTTTGTTCAGTATATTCTGAACACGATTTCCTCTCCCTCATCTTCTCCCAGATTCTACTCCCTATCTCCCTCCCTCCCCCCCATCCAGTCCTATACCTTTGTTACAATGTGTGCTGTGACTGCTTGATTCATGGCTGTACCTTCCTAAGCAGCCATGAGAGAAGGAAATGAGTCAGCATGACACTATCATATCCCTAGCTTTCAGCACAAAGGTGTGTCCAACCCATGACCTATGGGTCACATGTACCCAGAATAGCAAAAATGTGACCCCATGCAAAATCATAAACTTCTTTAAAGTAGATTTTTTAATGATAGGTTTTGTGTGTGTGTGTGTGTGTGTGTGTGTGTGTACGCGTGCATGTATGTGTGTGTGTGCATATGCATGCCTGTGTATAAATTCTAACTGTGAACTATATAAATGACAATGTCTTGTCACAATGTCAAAAGGTTAGACATGTCTATGAAACTTCCAGTAAGAATATATCACATAAGTAAATCATTTCAATAGGGGCTTGGACATTGCTGCATTTCCATTTATTCCTTCTTGCTTTCCTGGAGCAATCCATGTTTTTGAATGAATCATCTTTACTAGGGCAACTTCCTTTTTATTAACAGTTCACCAACGTCCTTGTAGAGTATGAAACTTTCTTTACAGCATCATTCCTGGCACTAAATGTTTCCTCCAGAGAGCCCATTGGGATCAGACTTGGGGTTAATTCCAGGCCTCAGAACTTTTGTTCTTAATATAGAATGTAAAAACTCTACCATGGGGGCGGGGAATGTATGCTAAATAGATCAAAATTATTTCCACTATACCTTAACTCTCCAGAGAAAGGAGATAAAGCTGCTTGATGCATTGGTTAAAAAAGAAGGAGAAGAAGCAAAAATATTTCTAGCTCTGGAAAGTAAGTTTCATTTTTGGTGTAATAGAGAAGCCCCTGGAGGAGATGGCCATATTTAGAAGGGTGGGTGGTAAAAGAAGTAAGAAGATCTAATCATCAGTTCCACTGCAAGAAAATATCCCAGAGAAGCCAACCTCTTCTTAAATGAAAATTGACTTTGTCAAACTACTAAGCATCAGGTTGTGCATGGTAGCTCAATGGTAAATTCCATGCTTAGTGTATGTGAGGTTCAGGATTCCATTCCCAGACCTGAAAAATACATACTATTACTTTGACTTATTTGTTCTTCCTTAACTCCCATATTACATTAATCATCCAACCATGATGGTTCTTCTATGTCTCCTTAGTACTGCCCATTTTCCTCCTTTTTATCCCCATACTTCAAGATGTTCACTATAATGGCCTCCTGGTACTCCTCAGTTTCCCTGTCCCCTCCAGCTTATTCTTGGAGCTACCTAGATTACACCTAAGATCATAACTGAGATCTGTGAGCACAAATAGAAATCTCCCCAATGTTTATCAGGATAATAAATGCATGTGGTAACATGGACAAAACAAGAAAATGTAAATAGAGAAGAGAGGACAGCACATAGATGATGATGATGATAATGATGATGATATGCTTGAGAGGAAGCAGAAAGTTGTGAGCAGGTGGAAGGTTGAAAGCAAAATGAGTTCAAACAGGTTTGAGGTGCACCCCTCTCCACAAAGGGAAGAGATGTGGGAGCTGATCAGAATGTAATGAATAATCAGTTATTGGCATGGGAAAGGGTAGAGGTGATAATTTCAGGATTGAGAAGATGAGTGATCTACAACATGGCATGTTTAGAAGAGTTCGCTTCTTTGGAATTTTATGTAAAAATGAATTAATCTGTGATAGGGCTTCTGTGGGTGAGAACAGTCCATAGTTTCTTTTAAGTGATTAGTGGGCTTGTGTATTGAATAGCAACTGACTCCTACAGTCAGTATATTTTCACAAGAACAGGATCCCCATGGCAGTTAGTTTCAAACCTTGGTTTTTCTCAGCATCGAGTCTCAGGGTATTGATCGTAGCTGTTTATTACTTAATACTTAAAGGATTCCTGTTTGTCTTACAGGGCAGCACATAAACACCCCCTCTCTTTGAGGAATTCTTTGCTACCCAGGAATGATCACACCATGAGGATTGTTTAAATGCCACATTCTGAAACTTGGGCTTTTGGCCATTAGTCCCAAACTGGCACTTTAAAGGAATAAGAATGTAGATCTTCATTTGCTTATTTGCCCAGTGCTGTGGGTTTTTAATGTGTGTGTGTGTGTGTGTGTGTGTTTGTTTTGTGTATATGAGTGTCACTTGCACATATGTATGGGCACTCCTTGTGTGCAGTGCCAGAGGAGGCCAGAAGAGGGAACTGGATTCCATGTTACTGATGGTTTTGACCCATAATATAGGTGCTGGGAACTGAACCTGAGTCCTCTACAAGAGTAGTCCATGTTTTCATGTGCTAAGCCATCTCTCCAGACACTAATGCTGTGTTTTGAATCATCGGTTTTTAGATTGGATTCTAACATTTATAAAATGAAAAGCTATTTCCCACACCCCTGGCCAAGGAAATAAAAATAGAAAAATCTAGCCACACATCTCAAATTCCTAAATTGAACAGTAGATGTCAAAAGCATAATTGTCTGGAGGGAAATGGACCAGGTGTCCACATTACATGAAGCATGCGCTTGCTGGCATCCCTAACCAACCACATTTTGCCTGTCTGCTTAACCCCAAGGAGATGCCTCATCTTATATCCAACATTACCTGTGTGAACACTCAGGACCTGTGGGTCTGTGAGCCTGTTGTAGGCTATACATGTGGGAACTTCAGCTGATTAGTTCATTATCATCTACCACACCAAACCCATGCTAGATGCCCAGAATATGCTGTGAATTTGACTTATTATCCCCCACAATGTCATTGTGGGCATCTATGTACTCTACTCACACAGACTTTCTGCTCTTTGGTGTACCTCATCCTACTTAAAGGTTAGTCATTACACTCAGTCCCATCCATGTTTCCGGAGACCTCCCTTTCTCTCTTTGCTCAAATGCCACTTTCTCTGGAAGCCTTTTCTTGAAAGTGCTTTGATTACATCCAAACTCATTATGATATACCTTAAAAACACTCTTGATGTGTACTTCATTACCATTGTTAGGTGTTGTGTATGTGTTGGGGGCAGGTGCTTTCTGCCAATTTTTCCCATTGCATTGTAAGCTTCAATACTGGAAACAATGTCAGTGCCCTTACTAATGGAGATACCACTCCTCATCTGACATCATAGGCATGGCAAATGCTTGAGGTTTAAAGGAAAGAGTGAATGAATGAATGCTATCAAGAGGTAGCCCCCTAACAAATACTAAGCCAGCAACTCAGAATGTGGTTATGCATTTTTACTGTGTTCTGGTGCCTGCCTGCCTGACTCTTGTTTAAACCTAGTAGACCAGGGTGACTCAGAAGCAATTTCTCTTGTCTGACATTGTGCACATCTTGAAAACATCCTGGACCTTTTGCTCAGTTTTTATCTTCTGCATCTGATACAGAATGTCAAAAGCAGATGGTGAATGTCCACATTGATCAGGCAGGAGTTTTTGTTGTTGTTGTTGTTGTTGTTGTTGTTGTTGTTGAAGATGGGTGCATAGCATCTGTATGCACTGGCTTATGCAGGATAGTCTTTCAGAGCCTTACCTTGGGCTATATGTTAGAGTGGTGTAGCTGCAGTGCCGGCCACAAATGAGCATGCTGGTGCTTATGGGACACCCTATTAGCTTTGGCCGTGGAGTTTCTGTTGGTCAAAGCATTTTTAAAGCATCATTAACCTTATCGTGTCCTGTCATTAAAAAATTAGGTAAGACGTGTAAAGTACAATGGAAAGACTACAATCAAGACAGGACTTAAAGTGACGTAGTCCCATGCGTGTGCGTACCTCCTAGGTGTCTGTGAAGTCTGCACACCTAGTGCACACCTTTAAAGTCTGATTCCAGACAGATGTGGTTTTGTCCACCAGGGTTGCGGGGGGAACCTATTATCCACATGAAGTTTTAAAAAATATAGGTTCTCTGGTTACACATGCCTCATCAGCAAGCCAGGGCACATAATTAATTGGGCAGAAGGCTCACTGGGATTAATTAGCAGTTGCATAGGAAGAGTTTAGCTCAGACTTCCAGTGTAGAGCATGGTGTTCTAGAATGACCAGTTCCTGGATGCCCAATTCCACTCCTATAATGGGGAATATTTCACTGTTCACTGATAACAAGAATGGGGGCCCCTGGCTCCTCAGTGGGCCAGCACGTGCACATGCACACCTGGCTCATGCCAGCAGAGGGCAGCAATACGCTGTGTGTGTTCAATTTGCATTCCAAATTAGCAAACCTCTGAAGACCTACAAAGAAAGGAAGTGGGTGTCCCAGGCCTAGGCTAATTTTCTCTAGGTGTCAATACTGGCCTGAATAATAGCAAGCCCAAGCCTTTTGCTGTTCATAGATCTTTGGCTCTTCTACCGCAGAGAAATGAATACACCACTAAGAACTGCCATCACAGACAGGAAGTAACTTTAATTAAATATTGTGAAAGTTGAAAAGTTTTTACAGCTTGAAATTTTTGCAAAAAGAAAAAAAAAGGAAAATTATAACAATCTCTACAGTAGTTAAGTGCTCTAACAATTGAACTGTACAGTGTGTGTCTACTGAAAAAAGTTTTGATAAGAAGGTGAAAAGTTAGTAGATTGAGAAATGAGTTCAAGAAGCTGCATCCTACTTTGTGAAGCCGGGCATGGCATATGCATATCCAGTCATCCAGAGGCAGGGGCTCTTCCCCCAAAACTGAAATCTGAATTGAATTCTCTACTCCATCTTCTTGTTAAAGCCATATTCTGTATTTAGGGGGAGCTATGTCTTAAAGGGACTTGAAAACAACAATTTTCTTTTTTTAGAAGAAAATGGTCCCCAGAACCAGAGTGCTTCTCTGTCATCTAATCAAACATAAACAACAAAACACAAAGGATACACGTTTTCTTTTTAAAGGCTCTTTGGGCTTTCCAGTAAAGTTCTTACCATGGCACATGGCTAACAGATTGGTGGTGTCTTTTGTCAGGGTCTGAGCCGTACATCTCACCGGCTCACTGCTCCTTCCTTTGCAGACTGGTGTCTGGCTCACCAGACAAAATATGGCTTTAGACCTTAGACATCTTCAGGCCAGCGCTTAACACACGAATTCAGACAACCTTTCTGAGTACGGAGAAGCAATGCTAAACCTTGCTTATATTTTTCCAGTTTCTTTTTTATTATTATTATCATCATCAGTCATCATTATTATTATTTCTCACCATGAAAAATCAGCTTTCCTCCCTCCCCTCCCTTACCAACCTCCCCCACTTCCCTCCCCTGCCCTCCCCAACCCATAAAAATCCGAACTCTGACAGTCTAGTGAAAACCATTGAAATCCATACGGGCATGCACAGTTGCAGCATCGTTGTTAATGATCGCTTGCTCTACTAGAAAAAGTAACATTGTCTTAAAGTAACAAAACAGTTCTTTTGTGCTTTTCAATTTCTTTGTTTTTTTTTTTCTTTTTTCTTTTTTTTCTTAAATGTTAGTGATGATTGACAGTTGGGGTGCACAGTACAATGTACAGGTGAAATGGATATGATTTGCATTGTTAAGGCATCCAATCTGCTGGTTTATATTTATGTGAAAGACAGAATATACAAGCAGACTTAAGAAAGAAAGTATGTTCATTGATCGCTATGAAGTTTCTCCCCCAAATTTAATGCACAAAATGCGTCACTCCAAAGGGAGAGATTCCATGCATATTAATAGAGTAAAACAGCATTTTTGTATGCTTCCAAAGCAAAGGATACATTATTTTTCAATCTACAGAACTAAATACTACAAGAATAATATGCTACTATTTTTTTGCCATATATTGGAAAAAACTTCTTAACTTACAAATAATACAAAAATAGACAATGGCTTTTGGGTGGAAATAAAAAAAATGAAGCATGGTTTGAAACAATACTAAAAATACCTATAAATGAATTGTTTAAAAATCACATTGAAATAGCCAATACAACAATAGGTGACCAAACTATACGCACTGTTCACAAAGCAAACACACACCAAAAAATAAGCTGGGAGCTGGGGGTGGGAGGAGAGAAAAAGCAATGTACAAATTCCAAAGATAAATACATTATTTATATGGATATTTTACAAAATCCCCATTAAAACAAACAAACAAAAAGCCTTTGAGTTCACTTTGCAAGTATGTGCAAGCTAAAGGTAGTGCGCTTTTTATTTCTTTGCAAAATATGCGGTAAAACTTTTCGTGTGTGAGCTTCAAAACCATCTTAAGACATTAAAATGTATAAATAAAACAACAACTTTGGCAAAAAAAAAAATCACACACACACACACACAAAAAAAAAAAAAAAGTCTACAGTATTTATAACTACATACAGAAACAGAAGGGCAAAGAAAAGCCAGCCAGGCCGGTGCCCCTTGGAGCGTCCCTGGCTGAATCTTTGCTGTGGATTCTTTCTTTTAAGAACACTTCCCAGTAGAAAGCAAACATTCCCACAGAAAGCTGAGTTCGAGGCCTTCCCCTTCTCTCTCCCCTCCCCAGTTTCCTTTCGTTCTGAACCCCAAAGCACTTTACGGGTTGTTTGAATTTATAACTTTACAATCACACCAGGGTCTTGCTGGTACAGGGTCCTGTGTGAACAGCCTGCCTACTCGCCTTTGTCAGTTTGCTTTGTCTGCGGTTTTTTTCTTTATTATTTTTCCTTTTTTTTTTTTTTTTTTCTTTTTTTTTTCTGAGCCTGGATATAGACAGCATTTAGGATTCTAGGAGGAGTAAGCTCAAATCTCTAGATGGTGGTCTGTGAGTAAGATTTCCACTTAGTAAACTGGAGGACATATGTGGAATTCTGTGCCTGGACCCTGTTCCGGGAGTCTTGAAGGAGTTTCGGGCATGTGCCACGCCATGTTACTCCTCTCTCAGAGGCCACTGGCTTCGGAAGAAGTTAGCAGAAGTAAAAGAATAAGATCGGGTTAAAAGATGCAGGGTTTTGTTTTGTTTTGCTTTGCTTTTTTTTTTTTTTTTTTTTTTTTTTTTCTTTCTTTCTTTCTTTTTTTTTTTTTTTTTTAAACAATCTGTCTAGAGGCACTGGATTTTCTGAGTACAAGGGGAAAATGTGATCATGTATGTCGCTTGGTAACTTTCCAGGCTGCATTTATTTACACAGTTACTTAAGACAACCATACAAAAGAGAGAAGGAAGCTTGCAGAACTGCTAAGGGATGGCATGTTAAGTTAGATATTGAAAATGCACTGTCTGAGCTAACTACCATTGATATGCTTTAAGGCGCAAAAGCCGACCCTTAGTTTTCTAGAAAATCTAACTGGCATTCCTATTCTGTCCCATACAAGCTTTTTTTTTTTTTTTTTTTTTTTTTTTTTTTTATTTTTTTTTTTCTTTTAGCTTTTTTGTAAATATCAACACTTCATTCTCCCCTCACACAGCTTTAAAAACATCATAAATTAAAACATGGGGTCTTATTTATAGTGGCCCTTTTGTGTAGCTTTCTGGTTTATAAAAGACAAATGATTGCAGAGTTAAGCTTTAAAAAAAAAGAAAAAGAAAAAAGAAACTGTGGGTTTGCTTTTATCAATACAGAATAAATATAACCCCCAGATACTTAGGGGTACAAGTTTAACCAACACCCTGCTCTGGCAGACCCCCTTTTCCAATTTCAGTATTTGCAAGGTCGGTGATTTTGTTTAAAAATCTGCAGTTATTGTGTGATTCCTCTTAAAAAGGCCTGAGTTAAAAGTTCCATTCTGGGACTCATATCAGATTACTTTCGTAGCAGAATCCAACCTCTTCATAAAATTCTTCAAGGCAATTCTTTCACATGGGAGGAACAATCATGCCAGATATCGCTGCGAAAACAAAAGACAAAAGTCAATAGTTTTGTACCCAAACATTTCACCAAGGACAAGGGAACAATAAAAACAACCCACACATGACAATATCGATCAAATATTAACCAGATGTCCTTGCATCTTCCCAGGAATGAATTTTGTCTATACATACATACATATCTTATTGAAAATTTTATCACCATGTATATGTATCCCTAACAGAACAGAGCATCCTAAACATTCCCTCAAATCTGACTCCAATTTTAAGACATAACTGGAAAGTTGCATAGCTTGAATACCATTGGGAAAGTTGCAACCTCAGACTTTACAAAATTGTGAGAATTTTCAGTTTGCCATTCTGCGTTTCCTTCCCGTCACATCCAAAATATGAAATAAAGAAGTGGCCTGCTGTAACTGCCAACAGTTTCTACAGTCTCTCCTTATGTTCTGGATTAGCATGAAAATTAAGTAACAGAGTCACCATCTGAGGGCCTTCCCTTCAGCCTGAGCTGGAAAAGGAGATGCCAGCCCCAGCAGGGTAAATGGAACCTGGAGGAAACATGGAGTTGGAGGAGAGAACATATTTGCCTGAAACTGAAGAATGTCTTTTCTGCTGTGGCTTCTCTTGGGATTTCTGGAATGATCTGAACATAAGCCCTAGAAAAATTGTAGCCTGTGAAAGGAAGACCTGTTTCAGGTCAACCCAAATTCTTTCAGAGGGTTTGGAGTTAGGAGCTACAGAGCAGTGTTTAGAAAATTCTGCCTCTCTCCTGCCTGCTTCTAAGTATGTTCCCCTGAGATGGTTAATTGTCTTCCTGGCCCTCAGCCTCCTGGGCAGAACATGCAGTCAACTGTTGAACATAGGAGTTACTAGAGATGTGAGTATAATTAGATAGAGAAGTGCATCCTGGGTCTAACCTCAGGCAGGGTCTAACCTGAAGGTAGGTCAATTCCGACCCTAATACACGACTTCCTCTCCTCTAACCGGGTGAACTTTTGAGCACTATTTAAATTCTCTGGTCTGTATTTTCCCTTATATCAAATAGATGTCATCCCATAGGTCACACTTAACATAAAGGGTGTGAGAAATAGGGGGCCACTATAGGGGGCCACTAAAGGAGAATTAAGACAGAGTGGCAACTTGAAAATATCCCAAAACAGTTGGTGGCCTTTAATCCCAGTACTGGGGAGGCAGAGGCAGGAGGAATCTCTGTGAATTCGAGACCAGCCTAATCTACAAGAGCTAGTTCCAGGACAGCCTCCAATGCCACCGATAAACCCTGTCTCAAAAAAAAAAAAAAAAAAAAAAAAAAAAAAGAAAGAAAGAAAGAAAAAAAGAAAAGAAAAAAAAGAACACGAAAATATACTAAGACAAGATAGATGCCTGTATTAAAGACAGACATAACCATCTTTGGTTACCAATGACAGAACAGAGTAAAAGCCTTCCTTTATATTGACAAGTCTAAACTTCAATGAATGTTCTTGTTAGTAATGATTAATGCATGGGCAAAATAGCACTCTTCCTTTATCTAAACCATCATGCCTGGAAAAATGCACCCTAAAAGTAAAGGATCCCCACAGATGGACAGAAGGAGGCCAGGTCATGTGCCCCCCACATTATTCTTGCTTCCCTACCCCAACTACTGCCATTTTAGATTCAATTAAAAGAAAAACCCAAAAGTATTTTGCCAAACACTTTTTCCGTTAATTTTTAAACCCATCTGTATTCGCAAGGAAATTCAATCCACATGTTTCTGATTCATTTACACGTAAATCATCCAAGTGTTGTTTTGCAAGAGCCTTTTGCAGTCCAGAAGCTCCTGGAGTCCTTTCCTGAGCCCCCATAAGCCTTTCTTTCTTAGAAACAGGAAGTCATTTCTGCCAAATGCAGCCCGACTTAAGGCTACCCCCACTCGAAAGATTTGGGATCAGTTGGGAAAGCAGCCTCCTTAAGAGCTGAGCAAGCCAGAGATTTCACCGAACTTAGAGGCTTAGAATTTAAACCCCGCCTTAACTTGAGAGTTCCAGCTGCTGTAGCCTCAAGAGCAAGGTTGGACAAGGGGTTCCTCAGTGTGATATTGGGTCCCTAAGTGTCTTTGCATCCAGGCTCCAGGTGGTCCTCTACCTATTTTTTTAAGTAGCAGGAAAATAAAGCCTGTGGCCAGTGAAGAGTCCATACTGTGTGTCTGGTGTGGATGGGACAGCTTAGTGGTGCCAGTGTGATCTAAAGTGAATCAGAGAGCTGACAAACCTCCTGCTGTTTTAGCCCATGGACTCAGGGCACACTTACCATCTGGGTCCTGAAAATATCCCATGGGTTTAATTATTATTATTATTATTCAGTTTAGCCTGAATTTAAAAAAAGAAAAAATTCTAAACAGTGGGGTTTTAACTTAAATAATTTGATAGACTGATTAGCTATCTTTGTAGGTCCTCACTAAAAACGCCCCTCCAAGCTCACGGGTATGCTGGTACACGTCTCAGTTTGGTACTTGTAAATACCATAGCCTTGAGAAGCCAGCTGGCACAGGAGTGAGCAGAGGGCATGCCTTCTACAGAGGGACTGTACTGTAATGGGATGTTGGTCCAACCAGGCTTCTGAATTCTTTTAAGAGAATTTAGAACTATAGACTTTTCCAAACATGATTGTCTGGCTTATATATTTTTGCAGGTAGTTAGTATTAAGGGCAAATATAGTCTAGGGCAATATAGGATGGGCATGGCTTGTCCCACTGCTGCAACCTCTTCTAGGCCAATCACAGAATATAAGTCTAACACAAGCTCTGTTACCCCTCACACAAGGCCCACAGGTGCTTGCATACAAGGTTCTGTAAAGGGTTACTGCACCCTTCATTTTCCCTTGACCTCTTTTACACAAACAGTAGCTGTCTGTGACCTGAGTCTGGGCACCTCAAAAGAGGTCCTCCCATAGAGAAACTCCATTGCGTGACTACATGACAATCCTGGTGTAAGAGCCGCTTTTTGGTGTGTGCTGTGATCTGGAAATTAATGATGTGGGCAAGAGGGATAAGAGGGATAAGTGGGCAAGAGGGAGGCTTGGAATGTCCAAGAATTGCTAATGGTATGCTTGACTTGCTCAAGTAGAGCCCAGGCAGATTCCCATGAGACACCACATTCCTAACACTGTGTGCCAAGAGATCATCACCAGACCACAGTGGCTCTTCCATGGACCCCAGTGCTGAGTGGTCACATTTGCTGAGGGGAACCCAAAAGCCATTGTGTTGAAAGACAATATGTGTCACCTTAAATGTTCCCCATTTTGATAAGAACTAAGACAAAGATGGGAAGCCTTACAGAGCTGGGGAAGGTTGAGTGAGGAGGGAGATGTAGTCTTTCCCTGAACTACCCTGGTATAAGAATCATGAGCTCATCAAGTGCGAGGTGAGGCAAGATCTTGTACAAACTGAAATGTGTCTATAGAGAAAAACACAGTTCTGTAAGAGTTGGTACTGAGGTACATGATATTTAGGGCCAAAAGGAGCCTGAATGTCAATAAGGTATAAGGGAGGAAGGGTTGCTATGACTATACCTATGCAACATCTCCCTGGTCTTTTTGGTTTAGTTAATGTGACAGTTCTCTCCCGACTCTGAAGTCCTTACATAGGACTCAGGCTCTGAGGAGCAATCATTTTAGATGGAAAAGGATGTTTGTTTCCATAGAAAAGAGCTGAGCAAAGCTGATAACTCAAGCCTTTGGTCTGTATAGACAGAATTACTTGGGAGTCTAGAGTCAAGAGTTTTCAGTGACTTCATCTGGATAAGAATGGGTGGATCCTTTTCTACATTTTATCTGTCAATCCAGATGGCAGCTGCAGTTTCCAGTGCTTTCCACATGGTACTCATTGGCAGTAGTTACATGGGAAATAACTCTGCAGGCAAATGCATTTAGCAAGCAAAATGGATGGTTCGCTCTGTATATTCATGGACTTGGCGCCTACACATCCAGGTAATCACAGAGCAGCAATGTGTGGGGGGACATGACATTAAGCAAAATGAATCAGACACAGAAAGACAAGACACATTGTAGTTACAAAGTTGATCTCACAGAAGCAGAGACTAGGATGGTGTTTGCAAGCTGGAAATTGAGCCATATGGGAATGGCAAAAGGATGGTTAATGGGTACAATGGACAGGTGAATGGGAAGAGAGGTAACTTCTAATGGCAAAGAAGCCTAATTGACAGCAATAAACCAAATATTTCAAAATAGCTAGTGGGAAGAGTTCACTTTCCCTACAAATATCTCATGTACTATGATGTGGGATAATGCTCTTGTTCACTGTCAACATTAGTCACTCATATTGGTTTAAAATAACACTGATTGGCCAGTGGTCAGGCAAGAAGGAGAAGTAGGTCGACAAGACTAGGAGAATTCTGGGAGGAGGAAAAGGCAGAGAAGGAGTTGCCAGCTAGACACAGAGGAAGTAAGATGAAAATGCCTTACTGAAAAAAGGTACCAAGTCATGTGGTTAAACCTAGATAAGAATTATGGGTTCATTTAAGTTGTAAGAGCTTGTTAGTAGTAAGCATGAGCAATAGGCCAAACACTTTATAATTAGTATAAGCCTCTGTGTGCTTATTTGGGATGGTATGGCTATATGACTGAGCAGGACAGAAACTTCTGTGTACAGTAATAGATACACTAACACACTCCATATAGATACACACTCACAAATGTCACATGTAGCTCATACATAGGTCCAACTATTATGCTAATTAAATGTGTGTGTGTGTGTGTGTGTGTGTGTGTGTGTGTGTGTGTGTGTAGACCAGAGGTCTATACCAAATGTCTTGCTGTTTTAACTAGACTGACTAGGTCAGCTACCAGGACCCACATATCTCCTCCTATTCCTCCAACCCTACACTAGGAGCACAGCCACATTCAGCCACAACCAGATTTTGCATGGGTTCTGGGACATGAACACAGGTCCTTATACTTGCACAGCAAGCCACTTCAAATAGTGAGACATATCATCAGCCCAATTAAGGATATATTTTTAAAAAATCCAACTGTAACTATACTGAACATGGAGAAACCTTTTTCTTATTATTTCCTTAACTGTAGTATGAGTGCTATTTATGTGGCAGTACACTGTGCTAGGCATTATAAGTAGCACAGATGATTTGAAGTTCATATACAGACATTATACCATTTATATAGGAGGCCTGAACATCCATGTGTTTGGTTCTCTATAGGGGTCTTGAAACTATGTCCTGCTGGAAACTGAGGGCTGTCTATAGTCCTTTCTGTTTCACTGCAGGGTGCCTCTGAGCCTTTAATACCTTATAAAGGGAATAGCTCTCTACAATAGTGACCCAGTAAGAACTACTTTCTAAATTTGACCACAACAGTTTGATTTCTTCACCAAACCATCTCCCGAAGATCAAGAAGTATTGAGACAAGAGTTGATTGTCCTACAAACGTTTCTTCTCAAATTTTCAAAAGCCTCCATTACATGAGACACACAACACATTCTGTAAAATCACAAAATAGATACAAAGAGGCATGGGGCTTAGGAGTAAAAGCCTCATGTTTTAGCTTTCTTCCTGCTTCAGGTACTGATATCCCATGTGGTTGATGGGACACATCATCAGGGACTTGACTGCTTATAAAGGTGCTTCTCAGCTTAAGACATTGCTCTCCCTAGACTGGAATCCTAGTTACTATTCATCTGAGAAACAGTTTAAATATTCATCTGATAAACAGTTCAAAGGCAACTCTGAACTATAAAATGGTCTGAGTCTGCTTCATGCATCTTTCTTCTGCAGTCCATGGCTGGGGGCCAGTCTCTCTTGGGTAGATCTACCTCACTAACCTGGGTGTTGTATCTCTCTAAATACAGGGTCAGTTTTCAAAGTTGTTAGACCTTGGTCTTCTTCATGGACCTAACCTGGTGACTCAAATATAATATGGCAAAACAGCCTGGAGGCTCAATACAGTAGAGTGAATATTTGTGGTTCAAGCCTAAAGTTTCCTTCTCCGCTACCTGGTAGCTAAGCAGCCACCAAAAAAAAAAAAAAAAAAAAAAAAAAAAAAAGCTGTAGGGAGAAAATTCTGCGTCAATGCATACACCAGACTGGGAGCAGGCCCTCCCCCACTGATGGTTTTACTCTTCATCCTCACCACACTCAACCACAGTGCCTATCTCCTGCTTGCAAAGGGGTAGTTGGTTAAGGAGCAGGCTTTAACAAACCAGGAGGATGTTCAATTAACTGTAGTAGTCAGAGATGAATAGGCCTTTTAAAAAGGTAAACAATCTGAATGTGTCCCATTTAGTCTTCTCTCTATGGTCAATTTGCTTAACCAAACCTTCCTTTGTCACTTGCCCTGTATACGTGAATGATCACAGTTCTGAACTGGGTGAATCAAAAAATGAATGTGCGACTAAAGGCTGATCCATCTCCAGAGTGCATCGAGGTCCCCTTTCAGTGGGAAAAGAGGGGCACCAAAAGTGAAAGACGCCATGCCTGAAAAGGCCATTGTCAGAAAGAATGTAGCATTTCCCAGCAGATTCTCTAAGATCCATGTAAGAGCTCTTGAACAAAAATGATGTAGCTGGCCTATGGCTCAGTCTCCTTGATCTGCTAGAGTGGACGTCGAGTGTGTGAGTGCAGGTTCCAGGGTGCCCCTTCACGAGGGCAGGCTGTGGGGGAGGAAGACACCAGAGAAATAGCTTAAGGAAAGTGGTCTTGGTTAATTGGACTTTACTTTCCTATTCGCATTTCCACTGATGTCATGTCTTCAAAGTGTTTGGTGTATTACAGAATTGGGAGAACAAATACAGTGTGGGTTACAGGAGAGTCTAGAAACAATGTCTCATTATGGAGACATTGGGAAAGGTAGAGTCCTGTACAGCAAGTCCAGGAAGATGAATATGTCTGGGCCACACCCCATGTCTTCTAAGTTCAACACCCCTTTACTATGAAATCACAATCATCCCTTTTATTTTTTTTTCCTGATATCAACTCTGTGTTTGTTAGTTTTATATGAACTTGACACAAGCTAGAGTAATCTGAGAGGAGGGAACCCCAATTGAGAAAATGCCTCCATAATATCCAGCTGTAGGCAAGCTGTTAGGGCAATTTCTTAATTAATGATTGATGCGGGAGGGCCCACCCCATTGTGGGTGGTGCCATCTCAGGGCAGGTGGTCTGTAAGAAAGCAGGCTGACAATCCATGAAGAACAAAAGAGTAAGCAGCACTCTTCCATGGCTTTTGCATGAGCTCCTGACTTCAGGTCCCTTCCTTTGAGTTTCTGTCCTGACTTCTTTTGATGATGAACAGTGATATGAAATCATAAGTCAAATAAACCCTTTCCTCGCCCCAGTTGCTTTGGTCATGGCGTTTCATCACAGCAATAGTAACCCCAACTAAGACACTAATCAAAGTTGAGACTGTCAGCTTGAGAATGGTCACATTAGGGCTGAAGAGATGGCTCAGCTCTTATAGGCCAGGCTCACAATAAAAAGCATAAAAATGGTAACTTTACCCTCTCTTGTATGAAACTGTATGAAATTATGGTTGTTCTAGCTGGGGATATAATGAGGGGAGTCATTTATTTTTAGCTAATAGAGAGTAAAGCTGGCATGAATGGCAGGGGGTGGGGTATTTTCTAGCTTGTCTACCCTGCCTGAGATTTAGTTCCACTGTAAAATTCCTTCTTTTCTTTAAGATGATGAACAGGGAAGTGCATGCCTCTAGGTACTAACTTTGTTATGCCAAGCAAGTTACCTACAGAATGTTCTAAAAAGTTCTGCCAGAGGTGAACAGGCGCAATGATGTGGTTGTGTAGGCTATGGGGTGTACCATTTAGGTTCACTCTGGATGCCAACATGTCCTCACCACATGCCCTTGAGTGAACTAAGCTTGAATGTACCTGTGCATTGAGGGTGGTACTGAAGTTTGAGAGTCCTTGGAGAGCCAGTGTGTTCTCCACTGCAGCAAAAAGTAGCCAGAATCTAATATGTATCTATATGTCAAATGGGGCACACACATCCAGATGAGAAATAGAGCTGCACAATTGCAGGCATGTCCCTGCCCTTCTGATCATCCCCTGGCCTCCACAATTAGCTTCTCCAAGGGACATGCTGGCCACTGAAGTGAGGCTCTGTGGTGAGCCGTGCAAGGCAGGGATTAAGAACAGAGTCCAGGGGCTTCTAATCACTTCCACCTGCACCTTCTACCTGCTGTCTGTGACCAGTATTCACCACCCCCCCCAGCAAGTTCCATCGCCTGGTATTGTAGTGATCTAATGGCCGCCATACCTGTTCCCTGCTTAAGAGAGCACCTGCAGTACTGTTTGGTGCTCAGTAAGTTGTGGTCAATTATTCTATTTATCTGATTTCCCTGTAAACTGTCTTAGGAATCTGGGATACATTCTTGGAAAAATGTCAGGTTCTAGAAAGAGATGAAAGTTTTAGCCTGATTTTGCAGTCAGTGACTGCCACACACTGGCTGGGAGGAGACAACCTCCCACCTTGAGTTTTCTCATCTGTAAGGCAGGGGCTGTGAGCACTTGTGTCATCATCCTGCTGTGGGGGGACACACAAGGTCCCAGAGGCCAACACCACTCACAGAGCCAAGCACATAAGAATGTGAGAAAAAGCAGACACCTTTTAAGGTTGGGCCCCACCCCCACGCACAAAATGTGGCCTGATGGTTCTGCCACTTCCCATATTGTACAGTGGAAGGAGACTGAACAATTTTAGTATGAACCAGAATATTCCAGTGGCTCTCAAGAGGCCTTTGATGTTTGCTATATGAGTTCATGATGCCTTCACCTTGGGCTCCGAATGGACTGCAGCTGTCCCCTCCCTGTCACCTCCTTACACAGCTTCATCCTGACACAAGCACCAAGAAGAGAAGGCTGAGTGACCTACTTCAGGGGAAAGCCCATCCCAGGAGAGGCTGCCATGGAGAACCTGACAGTATCCACACAGAGCTGGTCTCATAATGGCAACAACAGAGAGCGAGAGAGGAGAAAAGAGAAGCTCTGGTACTAGTAAGCGGCTGCACTTTTCGCAGGCAAGTCGTGAGCCTGAGCAGAGTTGCTGAAGCAGGAGAGAGGATGTCTCAGACATTGCCACAGAGGAGGCAAGAGCGGTGCTAGTGGTAGGGACCAAAGAGTGAACACAAAGGGACAGAAGAATCATGGCAGACAGAAGCTGGTAGGTCCAGGGCTTAAACCTCACCCCACCCCCCCAGCAACAGTGAGAAACTTGCTTCATTCAGACCTCTGGAGGCCAAAGTCTCATGGCTGCAGGCCTGGAACTTTCTTACCTTGCAGGCTGTTCCCATTGGTGCTGGTGCAGGTGGGAGGCGGGGAGGTCTGGGGTCTGACGACTGGTGCGAACGCACTCTTCTGTTTCACAGCGGAAACCATGTTGGCTGGTGAGAAGGAGAAGATGCCTGACGAGCTGCTGCAGTTGGAGGGGAGGCTTGTAGAGGAAGCCATGGTGGGGCTGGATGGCACGACTGAGAGTCACAATGAGAAAGGAGAATTACATCCAGAGATGAGGGGGCTTGCATAGATCTCACCTACCTCTCTGATCTGACCATTCTTAGTCAAGGCCCTTCCTAAACTCTTGGGACCCTGCCTAATTCATTCGCCATTTGGTACTCAGCATGTGCTGCCTTCAAATCAGCGACTTTCATGAGTTTACTGTTGTAAACTGTTTACAATACTTTGCCTGGTATTAGTGTCACAGATGGTTTCCAGGGGTATAGGGATGATCCCTTTCATTCAGTCCAATCCATCCCAACACATGAAGCCTGTTGTGTAGGGAAACACAAAACCTCCATCCTCTGAGTTTTCCAGACAAGAAAACAAAAAACCCAACCCTTCTTACCTTCTTACCAGGGATAGCACCATATAAGAGGGATTGACACTAGATGGGGCATCACAAAGAGCTCTTAGGGAAAGCCTTCCATCTCTGGCTTAAATAAGATTCTAACAAAATCTAGCAACAGGCGGGATATGGGGAGGCTATTTGGGAAGATGTGGCCACTGATGAAGGATTGAGATCTATGAGGAAGAGGGGGAAATTGAAGGAAAAACCAGCACCGTGGCTTTAAGCTCAGGCAGGTGGCAGTGTGCTCAAGCACCTTTTCTCTCCAAGATATGATATGTTCTATAAGGATGGGCCTGGATCTGGATGCACTACCACATAGACTCCTAGACTCCAGTAGGTAGAACACTGCCATATGCAACATCTGTGGGAAACACATAACTCTAAATCAAGGTTCCAAGTGATCCCTTCCCATGGAGCTTTCCCACAAGTGTTTGTGAGATAAGTAGGGGCCTGGGGGATGTATACAAATCCTGCCAGGCAATAGTGGGGACTCAAATACAAAACACTGAGAACACTGACAATTGTGGTTACCTCAGGAGGCAGAGATGTCCCAGACAGTATCAAGGCTAATATTTTCATACACACACTCCCTTTGCCTCTACGTCCTAGATACTCTTGTGTTCTCTATTGTTCATATTACTTATTCGACATCACACATTGCTTTGTGATGCACAAGATTCTTCATGTTTTTCCATTTTGTCATTGACAGACTAACATAAGTCCAAGGGCTTGTGATTTAAAAAAAACAAACAAACAAAAGAACTCAGAGAGTAGTTGAGGTAATTGCTGAAGGACCACAGCTAGGATGTAGCTTGGACTCGTGGCATTGGAAAGTTGGAAATATGGGGATCACATCAGTCATTAGCAAGGATTGCCATCAGAAGGAAATGGCCCCTTGTCAGCAACCCAAGCCAACATGTGTCCAAATGGGCCAAATGCCTCCTGGAGGAGAATAGAGAGGCCTAGTCCACACCTCAGAGCTCTACCAAACATTTACTACACTGTACTTTTTCCTTTTAATGAGACCAGCATTTTTATCCATCTCTCAGGATTTGTAAATGTGGGAATGCGCTCAATAATAACACCCATTTAAATTGCAAAATCCTGCACTGGAGGTTTGATTTTTAAATATTCTTAGACTTGAAATCCTGCTGGCTCACCACGGAAGGAAATTAATCTCATTGGCAAATGCGATCATTATGTGTATTTAGAGGTGGGGAGTTTGGGGGGCAGTTAACAAGAAAGGGGTGAAATATAGTAGAGTATTGCCATTTGTTACAACATTATTAGTTACTAGCCGCCATACCACAAAGTGTGTTCACCAGCAGAATGTCTTATTTTATTTTTTTATTCTGTCAGAATTTTTCAACATGAGTGGTTTATGAATAATTAAATATTACAGAGGCAAACATTCAAATTAGCTGGTCTCTGTGTTTATTGTTTTATTTGCATTTATGCAGATAATACTGTCCCATCTTAGGGCCTATTTTGGGAATTTAATACTATTTTTGTGAGCTCCGAGGAAATCAATTAATGAAAATTAAATGTTCAAAGTTTCTCAGGCTGACAGATGTGATCTTAGGCAGAAGTCACTGGATGTCCGCACAGGCTCAGGAAGGTGAACGCCCAGAGTCCCTAAATTGAATCGCTCCCATATAGCAATTAGCTTATTGATTTAATTAAGAATGCCACCTTTTAATTTTCAGATCATGATTGAGTAGCTGGGAGAGTGCTGAAGGGTAAATCTTTCAATAAATCAAAACCTAATGTGAAACTGACCCCAATGTTGGCTGGTAAATATACTCGGGACATGCAGACTACCTGGCTGATTTTAAATGTGCTACAAATGGCCAATTCTAAACAGATAAGGTAGAAATGCAAACACAATGCACCCTAAGCAGAGAATCCCCTCAGAAATAACACAAGGCCAGGATAACCTGTCTACCTTCAAGTCCTTAGCCACACTTCCGCATGGAGACAGCATTATTTTCTGTATGTTTAGGTAAGAGTCGTGAATATCCCTTCATTTTACAACAGTCTCATTCCTCTACAAATGTGTATACATCTAGCCACATTTTCTACATCTGAAGAACTCTTCATGTGCTAGGTGAACTCGGCCATCTATGGAAAGGTCCTCAGAGAGACATCAAGAGGTTGTGGGGACAAAGCCTGTGACATTTGATAGTGAGAAATGCCAGTTTGCTGAGGCTCTTTAGATGTATGTTTTATATATAAAGATGCCAATTTGCTGAGTTCTTTAGAGACAATTGAATTATTGTGGCCCCAAATCCTTTAAGCTAAATTTATTTAAGGTAAGAACAGGGCACCTAGGAATATTCATATCCTGTATGTGTGTGGTGGGGGATGGAGTTTATCTCACCAGATTTTTGTGAAACATATGTTGGCATCTGTTATTTTTTTCCTTTTTAAAAGTACATTATACACAAAAAGGAAAATAGAAACATCTGAAAATAAGATCTATTATTTAATGAGGGATCTATTGTCACACAGCATGAGGACTTAGATTTCCAAATGCCTCAGTTCTGTGCTGGGTCTGATGACTAGATTCTGGCATGTGCCATCTTATCCATGTTCTCCAACACTGATGAAGGTATGGTCTAGATGCTTCTCTTAAGGATAAGAAACCTAAGGTGTGGAGAGGACATGAACATACCCAGGGACCTCTGGTTAACAACCACTGATGGTGGGTGGCAACTCCATTGTCATCTGACTATAAGCATGGGTTCTTGAAATGGCATCATGTGGCTGTTGTGTGCAAGGTAAGAATGTAGAGATCTCTGCTGGAGAGGATAGTGCTCAGGTGTTGAGGGTAGCAGGCTCGGGGAAGGAGGGGAGCTCAGACCAAGCAGCCCTGCCTAGCTGACCTCTCTGCATGATGCTAAGGTCTGCAAGGGAGACATACAGGACTCAGGACAGATATCTACTTACTGGCATAGGGTGAGTTGGCAGCTGAGCCATTGAGGAAGGTTGGGGAGCCACCCAAATTGGACATGGCAGCAGAGCCATAGCCATTCATGCTCGTGGTGACAGAGTTATAGTTGGTCTGCTGGGGGGTGGTGCTCGGCACGTACCCATGTGGTGACACGCTGCTTGAGTTGCGGGTGAAACCTGAAAAGTCAGGGCAAAACCAGGGGTGAGGGTAGAATTCAGATGGTGGCATTCTGGGGAGACCTGGGGTATCAGAAAGGAACATCTCCATTTTGCCCCCTCATAGCAACCAAGAGGGAAAAGACCTGGTGATTCATGTGCATGGGTTGGTGGTGCTATCTCTGATTAAAATGGGAAGCTAGCAAAGACACATTTCTTAGGAGATCATAAATACTTAGCAGGGCTGTGAGAAGTGGCAATGCAGGGCCTATAAATTATCATTTTGGAGCAGGAATAAATCCCAATCTAAGAGATGTTCCTCCGAGTTAACAGGTCCCTCTTCCCTGCAAAAGAATGATGTGTTGTGGCCTATGAGAACTTTAATTCCATCCCTCTTTGTGATCTGTCATTCATGATTTATGGGGGAAAGTTGGATGTAGAGATGGCTGCATGCTTGCATGCATGCATTCTTTCTAGCCCCCTACTAGGTCTCCAGATGTGAGACTAGAAACAAAATCCTGCAATCATATTCAATGCACACAAGTGAAGAATCTCCTCTTTTGGAAGATACATACATACATACATACATACATACATACATACATTATTTGATTTCAAGTGGCAGAGGCAGGGGAATGGTAGACTGAGTTTGTCAAGAGGTGGGGGAAATGGATGAGACAAAGAGCAGGCTTCTGACCTTGATTGGTGGCTTGTGATGCCTCAGAGACATTCACAGCCAGTTGTCCACTGAAGGAGTTCACACCCATCATCCCTGCATGGACCGAAGTATTAGCAAGTGCCGGGAGCTGGTTGTGGTTGCGAGGGACACTGTACAGAGCCTCTGCAATGTCGGCAGCTCTCTTCAGGATAATCTCCTGAAGAGTCAAAGGCACATCATTGTTAGCTACCCTGACTCATACTTCCAACAGCCCCATCTTTCTGTGCTTCCTCTCTAGCAGATCCTGTGCTCAGGGCCATCAGTGGTCAATCATATGACTTTCTGTATCCCTGCTGATGCATTTGTGGGTCCAAGTTTCATCATCCTGACCACATTACAACTGGGGAAACTGAGGCTGTGAAAGGCAAAGAGCTTACTCAAGAATATTCATTTCTTTAAAGATAGAGCTGAGATCCAGAATGCCATCTGCTTGACTCTGAAGCCTATTGCTATCATTATATGGCAGTGCCGTGGGATTTCCTTCTTCCTCCACACAGGAACTTGGGGCCTGTGAATCATGTCCCCTTGCTGCCATGCAGGGAAGCCTGAGTCTGAGGATTAGAGCAACTGTTTTCTAAATAATGAACTCGGGGAGAGGGGAGGAAGGAGTAACATTGGTCAGGGCCAGTTCCCCAAGCAGCTTCAGATCTTTGCATGCAATTGCTTTACAATGCATGAATAGAACTATTGGGGCCTCATTCTGTATTTTAGAAGAAATTAAACCCTTCCTTCTACTAAATTTGATGAAACTCAAGAGAAATAAAATAAAATAAAATGCAGTAGTTCTCTTCTTCAGTCCTGAAGCACATTGCTAAAGGAGATTCATTTTTAAATGGAGCATCTTTTCCAGAAAGGAACAAGACACAATAAAAAAGGCAGCACAAGATTTGCAAAAGCTGGAAGGACTGCACAATCCTGTGACATGTCATATCCCAAATCTTAGATACTTAATACATGAGATTAGCATTTTTATGCTTCTCATACAATAAGGACCCTGAGGTTTTTCATTGAATGAGGAAGCACTTTATTGGCACACTCACCTGGTTGTTGTGGGGCATCCCATACAGAGCTTCAACAAGATCTGCAGCCCTTTTAAGGATCACTTCCTGTCAAGAAAAAGTGAAAATTAGATGTAAGCTTCTGAATGATAGCAGGTACCCTTATCTTTTCACATGACAGCATCTCCTTCCTTCTAGCCATCCTTTTCCAAGACACACTTGTAAAAGCAGTAGCTTGGGGAACCCCAGAATGGTGTTGTCACCAATTTATCCTTGTTCACATACACACTTAATTGAGTCAAAAGGTGAGCATCATTGGTACTGTAAGATAAAATATATCACTTAATTATCTGGCATAGGCATGATAAAGCACTCATATGTTTATTGCTGAATACAATTGCGTGGTCATTTACCAGATTACTATAATCGATGTCATTCAGTGCATGGTATGAATCCCTAAGATGTGTTTATTTTGTACTTAATTGCTTATTCCAGAAACCATGACCTTATCAGAAGGGTTGTTTTCGAGGTATTTCCAATCAATCTTCAGGCACTAAAGAAGCATGTAGCCTTAAGCTTCTTTTGTTTGTCTCTCTTGTATGGCAAAGCTATGAGGATACGATACAGGAAGCTCAAACACTGAACTAATACACTGTTGAACAAAGGCCCTTGCACAAGGATTCTCCTCTCCCATTGTGCCAATATTTATGACCAGCAGCCTTGCTTCTTCGCTGTTTCTGTAGAGTTGCTGTTTCTGTAGAGTTGCTGTTTCTTCTCTCTTGCTCACTCATTCTCTTCATAGACCTATGCTTTTACTACTCATTCAGTTTGAAGAAAAATTAACTCCCCCTTCTTACAAAGGTAGGCTTCCACCTTTGGCTTGCATGGGTCTAATCAATGGGGACACTCAATTTCGACACACATTTGGACAAATGTAAGCCATTCTTTCTCCATTTCATCTGATTTGTCTATGGATTCATCTACACTAGCATAAGGAAATGGCAGTAGCAACATTAGGTTTGCAGCTGGTAAAAAAAAAAAAAAAAAGGGGGGGGGGGAGGCTTAACAAAGAGCCACATCCAAGAATGTAAGGTAGAGAGGGGACTTATCCAAAGGCGTGTTGACTGTAGTTCAGTGTTGGCAAAGTTGCAAATGAAAGTATAACTTTAAAACGGGATGCCTTGGAGTTCAGAATGGGAAAGCAGTGCTGTTCCATTTTCATATGCCACAGACACTGATCAGAAAATAGGGCTATAATTGCATTCATTTCGCTGTCACTGTAGCCTCTTCAAAAATCCTTGAGCAAATCTTTAAATGACAAGCTTTTAGATATATATTAGCATTTTTTCAATTCAAAATTCTCCACAATATAAGATAAAACAGTTGTCATACTGCAATAACTACTTACCACATGTATAATGTCCTAAATTCAAAAATGAGATAGAGGATTTTTCCAGGTCTTAATAAACATAGATGACTGTCTTAAGCTGCCAGACCCCTCTTTCTAAAAGACTTCAGTTGTTTTTAACGTAGGGGGTAGAAAGCACAGTATAATCGATGGAATTTGAACCAAAATATATATAAAATCATTCCTTCACTTTTTAATGCAAGCTGCAAGATAATATACCACTTATTTTGTCAGCAGTAGTATCTGCCCATAACAGTTAATAATTTACCACAGCACAGGCACACTAAACCCTATCCCCAGCTCAAATTCAGCTAGTGCCACCTTCATCAAAACCTTGTGACTTTACCTGGCTCCAAGGAAAGAGTAAAACAAAACAAGCATCAACTTGGTTCATTTAGTAAAGATTTGCCATCTCTGTGTCTATGGTCATGTATTTCTCCAAATAAATATTGATGCCCATGTCTGGGCTCTGCTGGGAAGGCATTTCACTTTCTTTACATTTTTGAAGAAAATATTTATTTATATACAAATTTCCTATTTGTCAAACATATTAACACAGGATATAATAAAGTAGTGAATTTCAGCCTTGCAACACTATAATTGGAGATTGCAGCCACCCTTCTTGTTTCATTAATTTAATAAAATCAGGAAGTAAATGAGTTCAGAAGGAATGAAAACATCTTAGAAAATTTTATGAATCTGAAAATTGCATTTTTGGTGACCAAGATTTTCAGTGATATGACCAACCTGGTAGTTTATTTAATGTCAGAGGCTGGTCATCCTGTAACCGCTTGAGAGTGAAGGACATGGATTTCACCCCCACCCCCGAAAACTGGACCCTTTTGATCCTCGGTTTTGCTGTCTTTGATTCATGATGACGGGGCTTGTTTTTCTAAGCTAGCACATGGTCACAGGCATGGCATCAGCAAAATGTCACTTCACACTATCATGCAAATTTCTAGGAAAATACTTCTAGATGTCTTGTCCAGAAAGCTATATCCTTAAGTGATACCTCACCCTTCTGAAAATGTCCTTCACTGTAGTATCAAATTTGGAGTTTTAGGGAGAGCCACATTTAGTTTAGTACTGCCAATATGACTGGGTTTCTGTTAGTTATTTGTGCAAATGGGAAGGAAGAAAGACATTCCTGGGTCCTCCATGAGTTAGTGCCATAGACCTGCAAGGTGCTTGGATTTCGGTGACCAGAAAATTGCTCTCACCTCCATGTCATTACGTTCCCAGTGAACTAGCCCCCAAGCGTGTTTGTGTTGGGGATCTAATATATTGCCTTTCAATCAGAGCTGAGAGCCACTGAACACAGAGACAGAACATGACGAGCAGGTCAGGAAAGCAATAAAGATTTTACAGAGCTGTCCAAGGTGCTAAATTTACTCAATAATGGGTTTGGCACCATAGTGTTAACCTCTCATTTACTACCAGTTTGAGGGACTAAATTGAAGTAGCTGACTTCATTTACCTTGAAATGTATATTTTATGACATTATGTAAGTAGATTGAAAGGGCATTGCAGTTTTAACAATTTAAAGGCTAAAGCATGTTTAAGACAAAACTTGAATATTTATTGTATATTGCACTTAAAGTATATAGAATGTTAAAATGTATTGATTAAATTTGTAAAAGGGTATTATAAAAATGACAGGTAGTATAAGAGATGTATGTCTTTTGAAATCAAATTGATAGTATATGCTATCTCTTCTGTAGCCACAAGTGTAACTTTTTTCAGGTTTAAAGGTAATTTGAGAAATCTGTAATTTCACATTAAGAAATGATTGAGCATATAATTTTTTTTTTTAAAAAAGAAATTTCCCACCAGAGTGAAAACTGGGTATTTTGTCTTAGAAATTATTCCTTAGGTCCTATTTTGGTGGCATTAGGTGGGAGTATTGTAGAAGGAGCCTTCAATTCTAATATTCGATTTCAATGTTTTTGAAAAGGAAACCTACTTGGATAGTGCTAAAATCAAATTTTTCAAGGCATTCATTTGTCAGAGAGATTTTCTCTTCTTTTCATAATGATAAAATATCCCCCTGCTCACATTTTTAAACACAAGGGTAGATAGATTAAAGTATTCCAAGATAATTAACCCTAGACTTGGATTTCAAAAGCAAATCCCATTGGAGAATAATAATAATAATAATAATAATAATAATAATAATAATAATAATAATAAAAAGTCATCCACAAGTACCCTAAATACGGCAAGTCTTCCAAGCCTCCTTTAAAGATTTAAGGCTTGTTTTCCAACCAAAATTCTGAGTCAGTTTGTTGTTGTTGTTTTCTTTTCTCTGTATGGCCCTGAAGTTTTAAAGAACCAGAAAGTGTTTGCTTTTAAGAACAACCTTACATTGATATATTTCCACTTAATCACAATGTGTCTTCTGTTGGGCAGTGGTTATGGAATAATGGCTATACAAATGGGGGGCTTCTGGGGAGGAGCTATGCTACACACTCTATTGAGAGGTAACAGGAAAACTGTAGAGACTTGAAGAGGACTGGAATTTCAAGAAAGAATTCAAGTGTGATTGCTATCATCTTTTCTTATGATTTGGGATAACCATGGCTGAATGGGCTACAAAGAGAAGTTCAGGTTTTTCCATGTGGTAAGCCAATCAGGTGGTGAGTCATTTCTGAGCTACTTTCGGCCTGGGTTATCACCTGCTGAGTGTCATTGTCCAGCTGCTTTGAAGACCTGTTACACTCCCAGAATTGAGCTTCAGGGCTCCACAAGGGTTACCCACAATTGCCTTTATCCTCCCCCCCCCCCATCAGACTACTCTAGCCAATCCTAAACCTCTTGGTTCAGGTTCTTGTTCTCCGTTTAGGTATAGGCAATCCTCCTTAACCTAGAGGCAGGATAGTGGGCTCCTTCTCTGCTGTCGCCTTAGTCCACTCTTGCTGCCTTTTCTTCTTTGGAGTAACCACTTGCAATGCCTCCTGCTCCCCCAGAGAATGGAGGTAGCAGTGGTGGGGTAGTCATGGCAGAGAAAGAGAAATACAGGCTCATCCAGTCCTCACAGAGAGCATTTGGCAAATGAAGAAATGGAGATTCAAATAGGTCAGTCAATTTTCTCTGAGTGGACACAGCTGATGAGGGCTGAGCAGGGATTGAACCCCGGGCCTGTTATATTTAAGAACCTGGGACCTTGACAGCTATTCTAATCCTTCAGAAATGATTTCAGCTTTTCTGCTACCCAGTTCATTTAGCTCTCTCTCTCTCCTCCTCCCTCCTTCCCTTCCTCTCTCCTCTATACTGCCCAAAACTGCATAGAGTTTATGCCATAAGATATTTTGCTCTGGTCTGAAAGATACAAGCCTTCACCAACCACCACTAGATAATAGGCTCCTTAAGGCTCTGTGTTTATCTTAATTCTCCTTCCTTAAGCTCCTGGAACAATGCTTAGTGAAATCCAGGCCCTGAGAAAGTTCCTGGGTAAGAGTCAGTTCTAAGATTCCATCACTGATCTTCTAAAAGTGTATGTCTAATTTATATTAATACACAGTGATGCATTTGCTGCAATTCATAAAAGCACAAAGAATGAATTTTTAATCCAATGTGTAAATTCCCAAACGTTGAGTTCTGATCATTGTATTTTTTTTTTTTTAACATTACTTTTTCTCTTAAGAATTTGCTCTTTCATGTTTGCCAGCTTATACTTTTTAATGTTGTGGTTAATTGAATA